AACTTCAATTTAATAAATAATGAGCCAAAATGATTTGACAACAATTAAGGATATTTTATCATTTTTTCAAGATTTAACACTTTCTTTTTTTTACAGAAAAGCCAAAATGATTGATGGTGCACAAACTAATAGACCAATTCTATTGATTTTAAATCTCATAAACCAAAATGATCAGAAATTATGTCAATCTCAAATATCATTTTGGCTAAAAAAACCTTCCATCAATCAACTTGCATATAAAGTCGTGGTTGTTGGGTGATAATCACTTGCAACGATCAATCAGCTCTACTCAATATTAATTAATCTTAAATAAATAAATTTGATTTATTCGTGTTAATATTTAGTGTTTATATTATTTACGAAGACGCAGACAAAAGGCGACCACTATGTGATTGTTGTCTGTACTCGTAACCAAATTTACTCCAAGTCATTCAGTACATGAAGTAATAGGTCTTAGCTACTGCAAGAGCTTGTACGTTTGAACTTTAAAAGTCAGCTCTCCTGATGAATAACCATAGCGACTATTAGGCGTGGTTACGATTATTCTCCCATACATGGTATTGTTTCCAGGTGACACAAAATCAACCTCTGTACTGTAGTTTCGATATGAAATAAGAAATTTCTTTTCTTATTCAGTCGACCTGATAACATTTTTGTGTTTAATTTGATACATGAAGGAGTGCAAAATACATGATAGAAGTGCTTTTACTATGAATATGTGGAAATTCTTCTGTTACTCAGAAGCGCTTTAATTTTTTTTTTTTTTTTTTGCCAAACAACGCACTAGCACTCTTTAACTTTTTTTCTGCCAAATGCATCCGGTTTTTCTACTTTCTACTGGCCAATGGAAAATGTTGTATTTTATCATGAATTTCTTTGCCATTTTATTGAAAATTCATCACTTTTGGAAGTAGAACACAGAAGAAAAGAAAAGGAAAAACAATGGTTTTCGGTCATCAGGGGACATCCAATTCAACACATCATTTCTTTTTGGTAGGATATGAAGCCATCTTGTTAATACCACAGATTCCTTCTGGTTTCCCCGTGTTCCTCTTCATCCTTATGTATCCCTTTTCTCCCCACTTTGGCCCCCATGAGTTCTTCACAATGATGTAATCTAACCCCTTCTGAGTTCCATACCCGACCGCTGCTACACCGTGATCTAGCTCGGTTCCACAACGCCCGTTGAAAACCCCCTGAAAAACCAACAGTCCGTCCTTCGATTAGTAAATAATTAATGTATCTTAGGCATTAATAAAACTCTGTATGGACACTAGCTCACCCCGCTATAGAACTGGAAATCTCTGCCAGAGGCCTCAATAGCCACGCTGAGAGGCTGGTTTGCCAGTGCCTTGAGGAGAGCTTGCTCGTTGTTTTCAGGCACATCTTGGTACCCGGTGATAGTCACTACGTTTGACTCCGCCTGAAGATAACAAAATCAAACGTAAGATTAAGAACAGCGATGATCCACTGATAGCTAAATTTTGATCTGAAAATATATGTTTTACCTTCTTTCCCTCACAAGTTCCTTCCTCCATAATGTAGGGGTAATCATCCTCCTTGTGGAGCCCACCGTTGGAGATTATGAACTCAAATGCATAATCCATCAAGCCTCCGTTGCAGCCATTGTTGAATGCTTTGTCGCAATCTATCAGCTGCTGCTCAGACAGGGATGTTAGGTTTCCTGTGACTATCTGGTTTATGCCCTCAACTGCAGCAACAGTGGAAAATGCCCAACAGCTACCTGCATTTTTATCATCATAACTCATATTTTTTAGAGAGAGAGAGAGAGAGAGGGGGGGGGGGTAATTGGCACTCTACATCGACTGTTACTGAGGAGCTAATTTCGCCTAATCCTCTTAGGTTCATATAAAAAAGAAGACAGAGAGAGAGAGAGATTTTCACATACCACATGAACCTTGGTTCTTGATGGAGGTTACAGCTCCTTTCTTTCGCCAGTCCACGGATTTGGGCAATGCCTCTACATCAAAATCGCGGTAACTGAAATCTCCAGTAGACTCTCTCCTTCTGGGGAACTCAGCCTTGAGACCCAAGTACTTGCTCTTGAACTCCTCATGGCTCAAGTCAGCAAACTCATTCACACCAAGCCAGTAGCTATCGACATCGAGGTTCTTATTCCTCTCATCAATGTGCTTCACGTTGTCTCTGAAAATCTCAAACCTATGCAGCTTCTCCTCCATGCTCTCATAAATCTTGCCATGCTTCGATATCCACTTCTCGAAAAGCATGATGAACTTGTCCATGCAGGTCAAGTCCTCGGGAGAATATCCCACGATCGAGAACTCGTGAGCCAGAGCAGAACCGAGAAAGAGAGGTACAAGGAAGGAAAGAAGGGAAATCTTCGAAAATGCCATTTTTTTCGACGAGAGAATGAGAGAGGCAAAGAGAGGAAGAGATGGATGAATGTGAGGGGAGGGAGTGGATTTATATAGTGTTTGATATTTGTGATGAGGTTGCTTTCAAGTGAAGTGGTAGGAATTTTTTTTCTACAATACTGAGACTTTACGGTTGGTTCTTTTGGGCAGGCTTTTGTCCCAAGCAAGCTCATTTGTTTAAAGCATAAGCCTTCAAACAAAATATGATTTCATTTACGTGGGTGAGAGTTGCTTGCCGCCCTTGGTCTCTAAACAAAGCTATGATTTACATTCCTTTCTCCGTTTTTTACTCAGTTCAAGATAGCCCGGACAATGGTTAATGTTAGTGAGAAACACTTTAATAATCAAATTACATAAAAAAAAAAAAATTTCTCACTTACTAACCGTTAATGTCAGGTGCAACAACAGTTGAGTTGAGTCTAACGCTTTTAAATGTTTAGAGATTCTTTTCCTATTTTTTTTTTGTGGTCAATTATTTTCCTAATTGTTATGTGTATCTGCAATCCTTAAAGTTAAGTCATGAGATGCTCTCACCTTGGTAATTCTTTTATTTTTGAAAAATACGGTTACTTTTTCTTGGGTAAGATGTTAGGTCATCTCCAACCGACCCGATCAAAGGGTCATAGGGCTAAAAATAGCTCAAAACGACACAAAAATCATCTCCAACCAAGGGCTAAGTCAAAGGGCTTGTGGCCCCTGCCAGGCCAAAACACCCAAATTAGGCCAGCAAGCTGGCCATTTCCATCCAGCCAGTTAGCAACGGCTAGCTGATGTAAGGTTACCGTTGAAATTTTTTTTTTTCGGACGAATTTTTTTTAAAATTATTATTTTTTCCTATAAATACCTAAGACATTCCTACACCATTTCTCACATACTTTTCATCATTCCATACTATCTGAAAAATTATTGAGAATATATAAAGATAAGGAATCCGAAGGCTTATTCATTTAGCGACAAGTGGCACTCAAAATATGTCTGAAAACCTTATTTTAATATGGTAGTTTTTTTAATTAGCCATATTAATTCAATTAAAATAATAAATTATTGAGGGGTTCATGTTTGGCCTACAACTCTTTGGCGTTGCCCCCTCGGTTGGAGATGATATAAAATGTGGTCTGACACTATTCATTAAAATATAATTTCTTGCAAGGCTATAGGGCTAAACATGACCCTTTGCCACTCCTTTGGCCCCTCGACCCTCCTTCGGTTCAAAAACATACTGATGAAAAATTGAAGCAAAGTCACGGTTTTAATAATCGCGGTAGATTGTAGATCCAAACCTTCTGTCAAGTTTGTTAGTTAATATGCTTCCCTTCATTCAATTTCAAATCTTATCTATATAGTTTAGATGTGTTCGGTGTATATTATTTTATCGATTGTATAAAAGTAAAATCATGACAGATTGACATGAAATTGAGTTTCGTGATACTTTTCGGTCACTTATAATCGTCTTATGGTAAAAGTTGTCACGTTTTATAAAATCATGTCCCGAAGCTTGTTACAAATGCTCCTTTTTTTGTGTAGTGTCATAGAGTCACATTGAAAATTCAAAGCAGTCTACCTTATTGTACGAGACTTGATTTTGGTGGGTAACTTCCAAACTAGGAAAATTCGAGGCAGAATCCCACCACTGTACAATTTGATTTTCTTTTTTCGAAAAAATAAATTCATTGCCAACACAACAAATTTACACAAAAAGAGCGCAATTACAAGGTAAGCACAAAGCATAGAAATGGACCCGCAAAACAAACTAAAACAGACTTTGGAGCGCAAAGCAGAAAAAAAAAAACCCTAGCAGCTTTCTACCACTGCTGTTGCCGGGACACCGCACACTAACCATCACAAACCAGCACTCCCAACAAACGCATGGGATCGGTCCAACCAAAGCCCCAAAAGTGAAGGAAAAGAAAACTCCAACATCCTGCAAAGAATACCACAAAGATTGCAGCCACAAATCGAAGGAAGTCACTAGGAGAAGACAAACCACAAGCAACAGTGCCTAAAGAGGTGGTGTGAACACCCGAACCGGAACTCTACGCACCTTCCGAGAAAACCACAACAAATCGTGTTGAAGATAAGTGGTTGCATATCTCGATTGATGTGGGTTCGAGGAAGGGCGGAGCCAAGTGGGAAGGGTAGAGGTTGGGGTAATGAGAATCATGATCAGGGGGTTGATGGACAGCAGGGAGTGAAAGCAAGGGGAGATCGGAATCGAGGGCTGAGGATTGTGAAATCTAAGGCAAGAAGGGGAGGGGTAGAGGACAGGGAAGATCGGGACGGACAGCAGGGGGAAATGCAAGCTAAGGGAAAACGCAAGAGGAAAAGTAGGGGACTGCCACCGACCCTGGCTGCAGGTAGGGTCGTTGGCGTCAAGGGTTGAAGAAACGGAAAAGACACACAACGGAAAGAACTCTGAGAGAGAGAGAGAGAGAGAGAGAGAGAGAGAGAGAGAGAGAGACCAAACGGGACAGAACTGTAATCCATACAACTTGGTTGTTTTGATGGTAAGTTCCAACCTTGTGGCTGTCAAAAGTAATTAGAACAAGTGATTTCACAGATATTTACACCAGAACATGAGTAGATTGAAGATCTCTTACAACCTTATTTTTGTTGAAATATTAATTTAAATGTCGATCGATGAAATGTCAATTGATTATGTTTTACAAATGGAACTCATCAACAATCACAACTAAAGGCAAATGTCGGTTGATGAAATTCTACAAGAAATTTGAAGCACCTATGGAAAACTAACCTTGAACCCACTAATATTGATTGAATTGAAAACAAATTACAGGAGACGAGTATGTTACTTGTCAATCTAATCTGAATTTTGAACAAGTATTCATGACATATATGAAGAATTTGAATGGAGCAAGACAAAAATATCTGAGTAACATAATCCTTTACACTGACTGTAGAACTAGGCGGAGATAGTGAAATGAAGTCGTCATTACCTAACCTTCCCGATTGAATGCAGATAAACCGCAACCGAGACAACGCTGGAAACAAGAAAGAAACATAGATCAGCTATTGTATTTCTCATGATGGCTAAACTGATGTTTCCCTTACTTTATTGTGAAAAATGGTAACTATTTGAGATCAGTGACAGTTTCGAGAATATCAATCAAAATACAGACACCTACTACCAAATTGTCAAATATATCTTTTGACAAGTTGATTATGGCCAAGCCACTCCCAACCCAATACATAAGGCATGGCACATGACAGAATTGAATGGGTCTGTAGGACTCAACTAATTGACGATAAAGTATAGAACATAGATGTTTCATGTGAGCAGAGGAAACTTACGTCGAGCCAAGGAAAAAGGCGAGGGATAGATGAAAGCCAAATAGAAACACAGAAACAACTGCTGTAAGAAGCATTGCCACTGAAGTAGAATACACCTGCAGAAAGTAGCTAAATTAAGATCGAATTTTCGTAGAAGGCCAGGAAATATTCAAGGTGTGATTCCAACAAATGTCTCATAATTTTAAAACCCACAATATATGAAATGCATATTGTTAACACACGTAGGCCATCTACAAAGATTTAAAAGACAGCAGCCCCATAAACCCCTCCACTTTCCGTAATTTCACGTATGTAAATCAAATTAAATGTAAGAATTTTGTAATAGGATGCCTAAGCATAATTATAGGCCATTATAAAGAGGCACGTAAAAGTACTTTAGTGAATGCTTCCCCAAAATCAAAGTTGTAATTCATAGTCTTACCTTCACAATATTATCAGCATACTTCATAACCATAGACACAGCGATACCACTGCAAAGGGAACAAATATAAGCAATCAAATAGAAACACGATAGGGAATATGCATAACAAGCAACCAGCCATTGATTAATTGATAAGAAAAAGAGGATACATAATCGACCTGAGTGCGTGGTTGAAAATCATGAGAACTGTAATAAAAGAGTATCCATGGAAGAATCCCCTGAAAACGCATTTTCAAAGGCAGGATATTTTAGCAATGAACACAAAAATAACTGGTAAAGCAATAGACCCAACAAAAGAGAATAATCAGAAATGGAAAACAGAGATTAACTTACTTGTTCATCACTGCATCAAAATCTTGAACCAGTATAGCAACAGCATTGAAGGCCATGCCAAACACGTACATCCAGAAGTTCTGCACATTTATATTCCTTGCAGGACGCTTTTTCATTATGGCCTGCCAATATTATATAGAATATTTAGTCAACCATAGTGTTTTAAAAGCCATTAGTGACAAATCTAAACCCAAATTTTGATAAAATTGAGTATGCTGGGTTAGCCATTTGCACATTTTGTGATGCTTTAAACAAGAAGCGGAGAACAAGCTGTTACTTAAAAAGTCACCTCGGTGTATACTCCAGCAAAACCACTTAAAAGTGCCATCACCTGTTACAAAAACAAACATGGCAAGCTATAAAAGGGGGGAAATAACAAAAATAAACAAATCAGATTAAGAATCTCAAAATGTTGAGAACTCACAATGGCCATCACCCAGCCTTGGAATGGAGTTTGGAGAACACTGTCAGATCTGCAAACGGAATGCCATTTTAACAAAGTTATTGAACTAACTCAAGCTGAAACTTCTATAAAATAACAATTAAAAAGCGGTGAACAATGTTCTCTGCGCTCTGATTTTCATATATAACTAAGGAATCACAATATCGGCAGACGAGTTTAACTTTTTAACCTAGAGAAAATATGCAGGATATATATGACTTGAGTTCCTCCATGAATTCAATAAAATTAACTCCCTATCATCCACATGAGATGCACCATGGATCAATCACATGATAGGATTTATTGAGGTTGAAAAGCCAACAAGTAACAGCAGTCTGCTGAGAGACAAACTCATCATAAATTCAATCAGATTACTGCGTGGAAAATTATGGCAGTTATGACACTTACTTTGGGTTCAGTTGTGCCGTAGTGCACCCTGCACATAGTATAATGAAAGCGGCCCATTGAATCTCACTTAACCTGCAGTAAATACAGGTGGAAACAAAAGCTCATAAGAACTGTATCTTCAGCCAACAGTATATAGCAGCGCACAAACTAGGCAGCTTAGCTTAGTCGTATTTACTTACTTTCTCTTGAGTATGATTCTGTATAAAATTCCAGTACTGATAATGTTGAAGTTCTTCAGTATTTGATAACCCGGAGCATCCACGTACGCAAAGATATAATACTGCCACATACAAATGAGCGCTAGATGCAATCACACTTCAGAAAGTAAAAAGACCAAACACACTGATGCAAGAGAAAACATACTACCGCAACAAACCTGAAGCAAATTCTTGATTAGGTAAAGAAATGCCGGAATGGGGTATACAATAACTTCATCCAGCTTTGCACTCAGCCTAATTCAAAGACAGAACACAATCATGTAACTTCGGGTTTAAATCCCTTTACGCCGCCTATTACAGTCATTCATCAATACCCAAAACATTATACAATGAACAGAATCGAGTTCTCCCGTAACATCACTATAACTCAGCAACAATGCACAAGTTATACAAAAAGTAAAGACCTGTTATCTTCAGTAACACCTTCATTGCTCCAGATTCGTGCCAAAGCAGCAAGCGATATTGCACACTTCAAAGCCTCCACCTAATTCCCAAAACACAACCCATTTCAAGTCAAGCGAAAAGCCACATTACAAAGCATAACTTCCTAAACTTTAACGTAAACTGTAGTTTCATCTGCCTCAGTACTCACCGAGAAATTTGCAGTGGTGACACTGTATTCATACTTCCCAGCCCGCTTCGACCACACAATCAATATTGCTTGTGAACTCGTGAAAACGGTCAGAGCTATCGTAACAGCCGACCTATTCCAATCAACCCAATACCACTAATCAAATTAAATTAAAAATACCAAAGATTTGAGTTAATTGGAAGAAATAGAAAAATTGGGCACACTTGAGCTTCCACTTGGTGAGATCCACTGGCTTGACCCGCAAGCTTTCGAGGTCTTGGGGGGCTGAAGATTCGTCTTGATCCTGCAATTGGATCAAATTGGTAATGAAAAAAGGTTGAAAATTTGAGGATTATAGCAAGAAATCTGGTAACTTATATGGAAATTACCTGATCTTTGAGCTTCCTGTACTCCATTGCTACGCTCTGTTTGGTTTTCTTTGTGTAAATTTTGGTGGTTTTCAGATCCCCACAGCCATTGGAGGACACTGCAGAGTGAGCCACAAGGAAGAAGAAAACCGACCGAGACGACGTCGTTTGAGGCTGTTCTTTCCTTTTTGGTCTGAACTCGCTAATGGACCGCGTTTTCTTCTGGCCTGTTATTACTGGGTTATGCTAAAATCCATAATCCGAAAGGGCAAATGAAATGACCCAAGCCCAATAAGAAACAGAAATCGGTTATTTGATTTTCCGCGCACTCCTGTTAATTTATGAATTTTGATAATTCATAAATAAAGAAGAGTGCGTGAAGTGAAAATATGGGTGCGGAAATCGCTTACCATTATCTAAGGAGGTTTCTATATGCATTCAGAACATGTTTAATGTTTATATAGTACACTTACCACATATTTGTACCATTATTTGTATCATCTCTTTAATAAATCATAGGGCCCACCAACACATGCAGGTCTCATCTCTATTTGAGAGATGATACTAATATGTGGTAAGAGTAATGTGAATCTCCAAAGTTCCTAAAAGAGGGAACCTCTAATTTCTCCACACCAATATGTGATGTGAAGAGGAGATGAGTGACCTAGGAGAAAGATTGATGTTAGTGAATCTCCTCCTAGGGGTCGGCCTATGTAGAGAGAAAAGAGAAATGTTAATAACGTTGAAGGTTACCTTCTCGGCCCTTATTTTCATCTTACAATGTTGCATGATGATCTAAATCATCTATTTTCTAAAAATTAAACAATTTCAATTATCGCGCAATTGTATGACGAAAATGAGAGCCGAAAAGGTAAAGCAGAAGGTAAGTAGCATCCCCTTTGAAAGTCCCATTTATTAAGGTATGCTCTACTAAACAAATGTCAAATTACATGCTAATTAGAAAATAGCAATTCGGTGTGAACATGAAGATTTCTTTTGGGGACCCGAAAGAGAGAGGTGAGAGTCGAGAGAGACTCGGAGACATAGCAGAAATTAGGGAGGAAGAAGAAAACTTGTAGCTCATTGTTTAATTCTCACATAGTTTTCAGTAGTTTAAAGGGCCCTTTTAAAATGTGTTAATGTTTGTGGAAATTTACTTGTCACTTTTCAAGTAACCAAAATGTGCATAAAACACGTATTTTGTATCCTTTTCAATTTCTACAATTTGTGATCACAAAACAAAAATCTTATATGTTACATCTTTTTAATTTCTTCATTTTGATTTCACTCTCATCGAGCAAATAACAACACAAATTCTTCAATTTCATTTCTTTGTATCATAGATATGTCTTGAATTTTAATCGACTTTCATGTTACGAGGATATCACTGTAACGGTATATCAAGTCAATTACATAATGTTAACAATATGTGATTGACTTGAGACACCGATACAATGAAATTCTCATTGTAGGTAAGTGCATGTAACTATGTGAAATTTAACTATATAAATACAAGGTCAAATTAAGAACTAAAGGAAGGAAATTTAACATTATAAATTTATAAGTTTTCATTTACTTCACACAGTGATTAATTTGAAAATTAAACGATTACAAAAGGGTTAACTAGAAGACAACACGATTATAAATGAGTCGGCAACTCATCCACACAACCTATTAACACAAACTGTCAACCGTAATTTAGATATAAACTTTGAATACACGCAATCTTTCTTAAATCACAATGTCAACCTTTGTCATGTTTTTATACCATGTGTCGTGCTAGCAAGACGCGTGTTATTACTTATTAGATAAACATGTTTAAGTGCATGTGGTCCAATATCTTAGTGGATAGAGTGTTGAGTTTTTGCTTATATGTCCCGGGTTGAAACTTTCTCCTCTCCTAAATTATTGTAATAGTTTTGAAACGTACCCTCCACTTAATAATAATAAAATTAAAATTAAAATTAAAATAAACATGTTTAAATCAGTAATTAAACAACATTGCAAGCAATGTTAAAATAGAGAGGGATTAATGGGAGAATGACTCATGTAATTTGCAAGCAGCAGATCCAGACTTTACAACCGACAACTCAAAGGTGGTCCCCGCATTCACACTCTGGCTCCTCGTCCTCCCCCTCCTCCTCCTCCTCCTCCTCCCCCTCCTCCTCCTCCTCCTCCTCCCCACGTTTTAGGGACGAAAGTGATAAATTGCTAAAAACTGTGCCTTTTGCTACTCTTAACTCCTAAGTTATCGTTTTATTATCTTATCCTTTTTCTGTTTGTTTTTATGTCAACCAACCATTTCATGCCAAAATATTGGGTGATATTCTTTGTTCTAGTAACTTAAGATGTCGATGTATATTATGATATTTACAATGATGACTGCATCCTCATCACAATGATTGGGTAAGCAACAACCCATCCAATTCCATCCTTTTTAACCCTAAAGCAACAAGAATTTTGACCTATAAAAGAAAATCAAGAAATTGAAAGATGAAAAATGGTTGCTTAGTCATGCATGGTAAGAATGTGTGGATGGAAATTTAAGTAGAGTTGTTTGATAAAGACAACTGATGAGATACGGTCAGATTAAAATATAATAATCATATTATTTTGTAACAGTTGTTGTAAAGATGAAGTGATCCATTCTCGAACACAAAACATGTGACATGGTAAAACTTGGTATTACGAATTAACTTCAATTATAACACACGTTGGACTTATTGTGACTCAAGTCGACTTATGTAGTGGATTTTCACTTTTAATAGTGTGATCAAAAGATACAGATACGTATTTACATTTGATTCCTAATAATTTCTCTTTAATTAGAGTAGTTGGTTGCTCCTAATTCTTGACAAGCTGTAAACAAAATACTCACTATATTTGCCAAAAACAAGTCTAAATTAAAAGAGCAAGGCATGATTTCACCTATTTAATTATAGTATTGTGGAGTTAAACCCTAAATTAAGCCCTTAAATTATCAAGAAAAAAATATTAATAAAATCTCCCAACAACGCTGAGAAACTCCCCCACACACCCTGTCCCGCATCACAGGAGGAGAAACAAAAAGCTGTAAAATGCAGAGAGAAGAAATACAAATTGAAAAGAAACTCCATGGACCCCACCGTGGCCCCACACATCACGAATAAGAACAGCCTGTGATGGAGCTGTGAACGCTACATTTCACCACCCCACACACACCACCTTCAAAATAACACACAAACAAAACCCCCACAAACCACATTTCCTCCTCATCCTCCTCTGGTTTTCTCCATTTTCTCAGAGCTCGATTTCTCAGAAAAATGCCCGCAAATCATTCACTTCCAGTTTCTCAGGAACAATTAACAGAGCAGCCCGGGCTGCGCAGGCGGCTGTCGTCTCTGTCCCTGAAGCTCCAGCCCATCTCTTCACCTGCAACCTCATGGGCACTAAGCCGGTCGAAATCGGTTTCCGCCATGGGAGAGTACGCCGGAGGATCCATTAGAAAATGGTGGGTCCAGAGCTGGGCATGGATCATGTCCAGGAAACCCATTTTTGCCCAGGATCTGGAGATGAACGAGGAAGAAACCAAAGTGCTTGGATCCGACAACAGAGGAAGCTGGAGGCATGTGTTCTACAAAGTCCGGTCGGAGCTCAAGAAACTCGTGGGCTCTGATGTCGGAAGCCTGCCACAAACTTACAGGTACAATTTTGACGATGGGAGGACCAAAACCAAGAAAGTTTACGGCTGAGATTTCATGGGTAAGTGTTGGTTTTTGAAATTAATCCAGAAAGTTGGGTCCTTTGTGGAATTAATAAGAGATTCGACGGTCCAAAAATTCGATAGCAGATCATCAAAAAGTACTACTTGTTAATGTTAATCTTTGTTGTTGTTCCAAACATGAAGATCATTTGTACCAATGTAATTAGACTATGTTGTTGTTTTTTGATGTTCTTATCTTTGTGCCATGTGGGATTGTTGTTATAGAGGGGTCGGGTTGAAAAATTAATGGTGGTCTGAGGGTTCTCTGCAATTTGTGGAAAGTTGAAGGAGTGGTTGGCAAATGCAGACATGGTTTGATCCAACAATGGAGATTGCAGAGGTTGCTGCTTATCATCATAAAATTAGGGAGCATTTTATTGATTAGTAAATACTAAATATCATGTTATTATTTTTATTTTTTTAATTACGAAGCAATTATTTTTGCATACTCTCTCCTATTATTTGTAAGTGTTAATTTATGTGCTAGTTAATTTATAGTAAATGAATTATTTATAAATTAGCTGTTATTTCTTCTTCTTCTTCCTCCTTGAGATCTTGCTTAATTCAATCATTATCTATTAAGAAAGTTAGGATTTTAAGTGATGAAAAGTCAATTCCAATATTGGTAGATCTAAGACGTGGGATGCGTGCCTTTGGACTCAAGTAACAAGTTTGCTCCTTTAAAAAAAAAAAAGAAAAAAAAAAGTAGAGAATCTCTACAGTCCAGTCCTTCATAGGATACAATATCTTAAAATAAATTCGAACACCGGTGCGTAACCACTCATATTACATGCATTTGTAATGATCGAAATTCAGAACGTCTAAGTTTACATTTCGTTTCTGTTTTTTTATCAATGGACCACGTTTTTAAGATTCTCTTTTGTTTCTTTGGTAAATGGTCAGAATAAATTCCAGAAACAAAGCAATATGGCCAGGATGGGGCGTCGGTGGCGTAGTCGAAATCGTTGAATACCACTGCCAATGGACGATTAGGTTATGGAACAAACGTACGCGTTTTATAAAAGAACCAAATGTCGTTATATGCTAATATAATTGTTGCTAGCAGAACGTACTGACAAATTATCAATGCATTCTTAAAATGCTGAACCGACGCGGTGCATTATTTGGTATGAATGCAAGCGAGCACGATGGAAACCAAGTTTTCCAGACAAAGATTACCCCATGAAGACTCATCTCCTGTCCTGGAATTCGTATCTGATTTTGCATGGTGGGGTTTGCATGCTTTGTAAGGATTAAATTCCTTTGGATTTTTGAGAAAAATAACAATAATTGAAGACAAGCCAGTTCCCACAACCGAGTAGGAAGTGTCGGTGTATGTACTGTTGCTCATTATTTTTTCAAACACATAAAAAAAGTAAGGAACTACTGATTAGTTATTAGTGTAAATAAAACTTATTAATTATTTAATTTTGGAATTTTGAGTTTGTGACCAAATCCTGTATGGCACATGGATCCCAGGATTGGATTGCACCGACTAAATAGTTGACAATTATTGGAGGGTCAATTGGTAATGGCTGAGCTGCCAAATGCTAATTAATCATCAAATTTCAACCCTTTTACTACCAACATTATTCTGACGGAAAGGGATCCTCTCCGGATCCCTTCCTCCTAATCCATCAAATCAGTGGATTCGTGTCTTTGAAATTTGATCCAACGGTTAAAGTTATTATAACTTTTAAAGTGGACTCCTGTTTGTAGTCGTTGGATCAAATTTCAATGGCACGAATCCACTGATTTGGTAGATTAAGAGGAAGAGATCCGAAGAGAATCCCTTTCCTTTTCTGACAATTAGGTTAATATTAGAAGCAAACCACAATTTCACCCTCCCCTTTGGACAGCCCTCTCTTTCTCTCTCTAGCTATGTCCCTCTCTCTATGCAACTGCAATTTCATGCTCCTCTCTCTCAAGTTCCTTCAAATATATCCATGGCTGGCCTTAAAGCATATACAAATTGAAAAAAGAGCTGGTGGGAGAAGTTGGGAAGGAGGACGCCAAGCTACCCAAGTGGAAGGGTGGTCATGGTGTTAATCCTAAAAATTACCAAGTATATGTAGCGCGCAGACTGAGTAACTAAAAGCTAATTACGTCATTTTTGCAGTTGGTGCGGAAGTGCCAACTCGCCACTGAGTTGAAATAGGCAAGTAAGATGTATATAGTGTTGATGTCGAATCACACTGCTGACTTCTGGGTTAAGGGACTACGGGTGAAGAAGGAACACTCTTAGCCTAGGGTTCTTAGAACTTAAAAATAAGGTTGCTAGTCTCGCTATGAAGTTCAAAATCCTTTGCACCCGGTTCGTTGGCTTTAACTATATTCATGAAAATATAAGTGCGTTAACCCAAATTAGATTGTACGACAAAGGTACTTAAAATGAATGAGTGACTTTAAGATGAAAGTCATTCAGCATAATGAATGCTAAATCTTGAAAAACCTCGGAGTAACCAATCATAGAATACCTCACTTCGCTAGGAAGTTGATAAAGTGACCTCTTTTGGTGAGAAAAATTAGAAACTCTTTGTTGGCTGAGACTTGGATAGATAACGAACGAAGATAAGAAAGTGTTGTTTAACCAAACTGAAGGTCTCATAAGCTAGGCAGGTTCTACGGTTCCTTTGCTGTTTAACTAGACTAAAGGTGTCACTGATTGTTGAGTATAGTGACGTCTAACCAAACTGAATATATGTCAACAAGGAAGGGTTAGTGAGCAGTTAGTGTTTTCTAACGGTGTAAGAGGGTTTCAATCATAAGGATGCCATTAAAGTCCTTCAATCATAAAGACTCAGTTGGGCTGGCATTATCTTAGGATGACCATATGTTCATCTCTGCCAAAGCAAAACATGCCTTTCGGTGCATCCCTGCCAAAGCAGGGCATCACCATTCGGTAGACTCCAGTCAAAGCTGAGTCTATACTGTTTTCTCACATTTTTTGCAGTAATCAGATCCAAGAATTTGGTAAACTTCCGCTTTCTACACTGCTACTTCAGGAGTGAGTTAGAAACATGGAAGGACGAGAAAAGTATTCTCTAATCAAAATTCGATCGGATTTATAAACTTCAGAATCGTACTCATTCATGGACGTAATCTTGGTGTGTTTCAGGCAATATCTCGCATGATCAGACGGTCCGTAGGATCGAGCCAAAGAACCATGAAATCCTCGTTTGGGAGCCGCTTCCGTTTGTAATGCTTTGGGCATAAGTCTTCGAATTAAGAGCATGACGGATGCTTATTCAGCTATTCCATGCCATTGTTGGCTTCAATAGTTTCTCAGCTACTTGATAGTTAAGTAGAGATTCACGTCTTATACCCACATAAAGTGGTTTCTGATGGAAACGTCCAAATAAGGGAAATCGAACTTGTGACGGTTCGACAATCCACTAAATTGGAGGGAACAAGATTGTGATTGGTGCTATGGGAATGAATCATCCATAAGCATCAAAGTTAGAACATTCGAGTTCAGGACATGGTTTTCATGAAAAACTTCGGGTTTTCATGGGTGTATTTGTTTTATGGAAACTTTGGGTTTCAAAGGCATTAAATTCGAAACTACAAGTTCAATTTACTTTATGAACGGTTAGTTCATAAAAGAAAGGTTTTGTAAGAACACAAAATACAAGGTACTGATTTACGTGAATGGATTTGAGTTAATTCGGGAACTCAAGTGTGAGTGCTTCGGGACTACCAAAGGATGTCAACTGTTCAAAGAAGAAAAATAAATTATTGAATCGTTAATCTCCAAAAGTGATCTTCATGTCAATAATTTTGGATTTCTTGTCAGATTAATGGACTACTAGTCACTTTTAATTAATTTAATAAATCGAGACCAAACGGGGTCGATCGTGGAAGCAAAATGATGACATGTTGGTCTTATTAGCTTTAATTGGCAGCGGGTCAAGCGACAAGTGAATTATAGCTTAATAAGCGTTAACCAAAAAATGCCCCAAAAATATTTGGTATGGTTAAAAAGCACGGGATGCCAAAATATGGCATCGGGTCAAAAAGAGAAAAAGGACGCAGCCCAACACGTATTGGCTGGTTGCAAAGTCACAGGTCAAAGCCTTGCAACAAAGTTGTAGGCCTGTTGGGCCTCGAGGACATGGCTACAAAACAGCCCATTAGCATGCTGGCTAGTAGCCCAGCTACTATGAAGATGACTGAGTAAAGAAAAAGAAAATAACCCAGTTGGGCTTTTGGGCCGAGTTAATAGCAAGCCCAAAATAAATAAATAAAGGCTAGGGTGTCCTGAGAAAAAGCCCAGCGATGCTGGGTGTGGGTTTCGCCGGAGTAGCTCTACGGCGCCGCCCCAATCTCGATGGTTTCAAACTGGAAACAAGCTGGGATTTGTCAGAAACACATGGATTCTTCAATGGAGAACCTTCTCGACGTCGATGGTGTTTCCAAAAACCAGTGAGATTCGCGAAGAGTCTCCAAAACAGCATCGAGATTTTGAAGTAAATCTCGAGGTTTCGAGGTCGGGGACAACTTCCAGTCATCGTAGGTCACCTGAACTTTCTTGGAGATGCTAAAGCTCGACTGCAGGCGAGCTGGTGTTAGGTGCGACGAATGAGACAACGCCAAAAATGACGTCGTATACGTTCTATATTTGGATTTTAGACTTGGCTTAGAAACTAAGCGGCTCGGCTTGGCTTGGCGTGAGCGCAGCTTCAAGTCGTGGCTTTAGCACATTTTTCTTTTTATTTTCTTTTCTTTTTTCAAGTTTTAGTTTTAGGGTTTTCAGAACCCAAAGGGAATCAGGGCTTGAAGCCTAGCAAAGAATGAAGGCCCATCTAGTGGGCTTGGTTCTCGCGCATAGCAAGCCCAAAAGGGCTGCTTGGTTCCCTTGTTTTCTCGATTAGGGTGGAAAAAAACCAAAATTGCTTCTATTTTATTTTGATTATTTGACTCACAAATTCCACATAGAAAAAAATTGCACAATGCATGAAACATATATATATATATTGGAAGGTAAATGTAAATGTAGGGGGTTCATGCTTCATGGTCGTTTCAAGTATCTTCCTTTATTTTAAGCGTACCTAATTGGCAGAAAACGACAAAAGCCTTTGAATTTGTAGAAGATCCTTCTCGGAAAGCCGGAATTGCATCTCTAATGCGTTGTATCACGTTCAACAAAGAAAAATTAAATTGAATCAATAGCATGTAGATCAATTCAATAAAATAATAAATTAATCATATAAAGAATGATTAAAACGTTATACTCCCCTGATTGAAGATAAAACTCTCTTAACGCAGCGTTAAAAGCGTGCTGACAATGTGTTGTAGGCATAATTTACTGAACAATTATGGAGGCCATATAGAGAGAGGGGGTGTTGCACATAGAGAGAGAAGGTAGAGATGTGCAATTGTGAGGTGTGTAATCTCACCCCATTATGCCTTTATTTATAGTAGTAAGGAAGGTTAATTCCTTACCCTAATAGGATAACTCTAATAGGATAATATCTAGTCTTAAGAGATATGGTAGAATCTCATAAGGATATCCTAGATATGTTAGGATTTA